GGAATAAAGTTTTTTTTTTTTTTTTTTTTAAAGAAGTCTCTTTTGCTCACCCAGGCTGCATTTATTTGATACAATGAATGCAATAAAAACTTTAACATTATGAAGTACAATTTAAAAGAATGGCTTTCTATTTGAATATATTTTAAAATGTAACTTGTTCCATTGAAGACTGGAAGATCACAGGAATAAATTATATATTAAAATAGAAAGCAGTTCTTTTAAAACTGAAATCATATTTCAATATTACTGTAAATGCAGCCTGGGTAAGCATGAGGAATAACTTTTAAAAAAAAAACATTCAAATGTCTTTATAATGTTTTTATCCATCCACCCACTTTCCAAAACACTGGTTCTAAATAAATAAATATGATGCATACAATATTAATGTCAATAGGTGTAATAAAGAGAACACTGTATCCTGTATGTTTTCCGATAGATTTATCAGTAAAGCTGACCTTGAAACACCAAAATGCCAAGCTGAAAAAGAAGCAGACACGGCGAGTGAAGCACAAGATGAATCCGGTATGGAATGAGATGATGATGTTGGAGCTGCCCAGTGAGCTATTGGCTAAATCCAGCGTAGAGTTGGAGGTACTGAACCTGGCCAGTCCCGGCACCCTGCTTCCTCTGGGCCACTGCATGCTGGGGCTCCACACCTCCGGCACCGGCCTGCAGCACTGGAAACAGATGCTAGATAATCCACGCAAGCAAATTGCAATGTGGCATCCACTTTACACCTGAGAATACAGGTTAATATTCTACAAAACACCACCTACACGCAATGATTGATTAAACATGTGGTTGGAGTTTTATGATAGTACTCTATTCCTGTGTAAAAATATGTAGTACTCCAATATAATAAATATTTAACTAGATTAATGAGTGAACCAAGTTGTTATCGTTACGTATTATAAGACTATTTTCTCTGAAGGTAAAAGCTGCTGGAGACAGTCACATACAGTACTAATATATTGTTACACATTAGTGTAAGCAGTGCTGCATTTACCTTTGGTGTTAATGTTGTTAATGTGTCTTCAAATTACTCAATGCTATTTTACACTGTTCTGACTTGGAGCCATCCTCATCTCCTTTTTTCTTTTCTTTTCTTTATTCAATTTATTTGTACAGGGACAACACACAACAACAGTGTTTTGTCAGAGTTAGCTATAAAGCTAATTTGCATCTGCAGTCCCTGGGCAGGATGTTGTTACAAAATTACAATATTAAGTCACAAACAATACAGTACATACAATATCACACCATACTCCATTAAATTACAAAACCAAGTCAATGATCACATATTTGATTTTCCTTAAGCCATACTTTAAGCATAGTTTTAAAAATACTAAATGTTGTACACTCTCTAATATTAACAGGTATTAAATTCCATCTTTCTGCTGCTCTAACTGCAAAAGCAGATTGTCCAAAAACAGTTTTCTTAAATTTAGTTGAACAATCACCTCTAACTGATGACCTAGTCTGCCTGGTATTATCCTTACAGAAAGTCACACATTGTTTAAGAGGTGGTGGTGCAAGATCATGAAATAGTTTGTACTTCAAGCACACATCAGCAAATAATAAAAAATGATCAAACGTCAATAATTTATCATTTTTAATAATATTGCAGTGATGATAACTCCTTGGCTTTTTAGCTAAGATTTTCACAGTTTGTTTATAAATAGTATATAATGGTTTTAACGTGGTTATACTTGTATGAGACCAACTAGTGGCACAATAAGATAAATGAGGGAGAATCATTGAATGCATAAAGAGTTTAGCAGCAGCCACAAGTAATTGGTGCCTAATATTCCTAAAGATCATCAAGCTTGCTCTAGTACTTTTAGAGACCTTTTTAATATGTTTTTTAAAATTTAAGTTAGAATCCATAATCATACCCAAATATTTAACATTTAACAAAATATTTAACAAATATGCTAACACTAGTCAGATATAAAATATGACAGAACAGCCCACTCAGTCAATATCATAGTGACTGATGGGAGAGAGAGGCAAACGGCTCATATCTGATACACTGTAGAGTGTAAAGCCTGGCTGGATCAGATCAGGAGAAAGGTTAAACTACTGTATCGAACCAGGTTTGGCAGACAGAACAGATGTCCCTCATAACTCATCATAAACGAACACTCACAACAAATATTAGGGTAAAACAATCTTTGTCAGATGAAGCCCTTATATGATCCGCAGGCAGAGTTTTTCTGTCAGTCTATTGTGGTTGGGAACACTTACAGAGTTCGAAAAACATTCAAATATAAATAATAAATTTTTAAGTTTAATAACATGCAGTTTTGGTTTTCCTACTATGAAGGCTTATGGATCCTCTTAGTCACACTGTCACAGCTGGAAAGATGGAGCCCTGTCCACTAACTGTAGATTGTGGCTAGTACCTTCACAGCAGTAACACACTAAATAAATATACAGGGTCTCAATAGGGCAGCTTTACTCTTCTCAAGATGCATGTATACAGAACAAAATGTAAATCTACCACTGTCTTCAAATTAAAAAAATGTAAATATATATAAACAACAGGATATGTATACTATATATGTGTATTAGCAGGATGACGGATCACAACAGGTACTGCCTGGCTCCAGGAAAGTTACTATGGTCACTGGGCAGTTACTTTATAATCATTATACACTTGAGTGTAATAGAGGAGGATGCTTTCTACCATTATTGTACTTTGGGACATTTTTTTAAAATTTAACTCGCTAACTGGAATGAAAATTACTCAGTTTGGAGACCTTTGAAAGCCTGTAAAAAAATTTTTAATAAAGGTATTTGCAAATTTTATCTCACAGTTCAGACTTTGTTTCTTGCCATTCTGATTTTTTTTCTTCTCATAACTTTGAGAAATCGAAATCTGAATTGTGAATAAAAAGACTGAAGAGTTCCCATGCAAAAGCCTATAAAAAACAACTTGGTCAAAAATGAGATAATGATACTGAGTGAATGTTCTCCATACACAGTATGTTTATCAAGTACTTTCACGTCAAATGTGCTAAATCGCAGCTGTCCTAAGAAAAACGTCAGACGTACTTAGAGGCTTTTGCATCTGAACTCTTCAAGTATGGACACAGAATTGTGAGATATAATGCTTGTGAGAGAAAACAATTGCGAGACATTAACTAATTTTTTTCTTGTAATTCCAAATTTTCATCTCACAATTCTTTATATCTCGCAATTCTCTCTCTCTGATAAAAACTTGCTATTATAAGTTAACATTTTGCACTTCTGATCTTTTTTTTCTTGCAATTCTGTTATAAACTCAGAATTGTGAGATAAAGTCACAATTACCTTTTTTATTTCTTTATTCTGTGGCAGAAATGAGCTTCCATATATCACTTATCAAACTACAGATCTATAGCTCAATGTTGTAAAATGTTGAAATTTCGTCTCATTAAAGATGTTGGTCCCATGTAAAAGTATGGACTAAAACCTAAATTAGTACTTCTTTCCAATTCCAAGTTAAATTGTAGCCAAACAAAACCAGCAATGATTTATTCCAAAAAAAGTATTAGAGTTTCACTAGGAGTGCACATTCTAGGTGACATGCCAAATACCACTAAAATCAAATATTGTGCATCTATCTGGAAAGGAATGCATATTTTGTGCTATAACCAACACAGTAGTCATTCAGCCAAATGGTAAAACCAAGCAATTAGCTGTAGGCAAATATTCAGCTAAGTCATACATGCAAGATATTTGCGGAAGTATTTGCTGTGTGTATTCTAGTCTTAATCTGTTTTGTGTGACCTGATCACAATACAATCTCTGACTAGATCATAAATTATTCTTCAGACTTTATTTTCATTATTCTGACTTTTTAATATCATCAAATTAAAAGCAATGTTTTAATTACTAATAATCCAGTTAATTATTAGATCATAAAAATATATGTTTATGTCACATATGTGTAACTATTTTGATAAATTTAGCTTTAAATATATTTGTAGAGGTTCCTTGGGTAGCAGTGAAATCCCCCGTCTTGTGGGTAAATACATTAGATAACAATCTCAGTTTGCCCTTCAGTCACGTTTGAATATTTACGGTGCAGTGGTTATTGAATTAACATAATTTCTGTGCCTGATACTTTTCCAGAGAGGAATGACCAGTGGAATGTTAATCACTGCAATCTGATCCATCTATAGCCTATGACTTACTGCATAACACTCTCAATTTCATACTGACAGAAATGTATTTTTAACCCACAGATATGCTTGAAACAAATAGCCGTGTGTTGGTGTGAAATAAATGTTCCTTTCTCAAATGTGTTTTTTCTCACGTGTGTTTGTTTGATGTCAGAGATTTGACAAATCTATTTATAGTATTGGTCAGACTTGATAGATGACACGCAGATGAGCAATATCAGGAAGTGACAGATATCCAGACCAACAGCACCTCCCACAATCAGCGGTAAATGAACACACTGAGAAATATATCAGAGAAAGAGAGATAGCAAGAATGGAAAACAAAATGGATCACAGCATATTAAAGTCATCTTTCTTTTTGTATTTCTCCCTCTCATCTTCAAAATAAATAGTGTCTTGTTGCATAACAGGTGACATTAATGTGTTCCGTGTGGTTTTTGGTTCAGGGCATGACAGGGCACAGTAGGCCTATATATGTCTTATTATAGTTTGTATAATCAGAATGTACGAGTCCACTCTCTGTCTGCTCGGTAGCCTTGAAAATGGCACAGGATACCAGCGGTAACTGCAATGCATCACTGATGAGCTTCTTACATAATCCCGCTGATAAAAAAAACTCCCACCTGCTAGATATTGCCCTGCCAGAGCTAAAAATGATTTTGCTGGCTCGCTCTTCCCGGAGGAGCTGTGTTTGTGTGTGTGTGTTTGTGTGAATGAATTAGAGAATACACTACACATCACATGACAAATGTCTTTTTGTCTGTTTCTGTCCTTATTTCAGGAAGACTGAGTGAAAAATGATAGCTGATCACTGATAACAGGCTTATTGATCAAGGTTAAATAAGGGTGGATTTTCATCACTCTTCCATACACACATATTTAAATGTACCGAGAGAGAGCTCATTAAAGCTCTCATTATGGCTTTCTGTATGAAAACCACAAAATTGCACCTCATTACTTTCTTTGCCCAGCATGGACAGCATTAAAAACACTGTCCTCATTCACACTGAACACAACACTGCTTTGATGAAACCCGTCTGAAATCCCCCGTCACACTGAGAGGAGTTCTTCCCAAAGAAACAACACATGAAATATAGATAGAGGCAAAAGCTGCCCTAGAAAATGTTTCTTTCTGATGCTGAGCTGAGTGATAATTTTGCTCTCAGACAAAACAAGGAGAGAAAAAGCTCCTGCATGGAGCAACCTATACTAATCTCTTCTGTCTTTCTCTCCTCTGCGTGGCTTGTCTAATATTGCTGAATTACTGTGGTATCTGCCAGTACAAACAGAAACAGAGGGAGAGGAGCAGAACATCTTGAACACACACAAACACTCTTAACTCACTACCATGTGCAGTGAGATTGAATGAAAATCTGGGATTCAAAATCTAATTTAAACCTTGAATTAATAAGAAATGTTTTAGGATGTAACAAAATTGTAATGAAATGTTATGTTGTAAAATTAACAAGAATGTTTAGGATTTTACAACAGTTAGTTTGTCCTCAAAATTGTTTGGTTGAGCGCTGACATACCAGTACTGAGAGTTCTCACTGTTTCCATCACTCCGCTTGTCTGTATCTGTGTGTTCCTGACAGACTGTCCATCTGTCCATTCATTGGTGGTGGGGATTTTTTCAGTGACTCAGTAACATTACATTACATCAGGAAGTGGTGATCATTTTTATGAGTGAGTCATTGAAACATTCATTCAACCAATTCATTCAAAACCAATAAGTGTGCCAAAGCATAGTATGTTGAACAGGAGTTATTAATAATCAATATCTAACCTGAGGATAGATGTTTCATTTTATTGATTTAGACCTAGTGATATAATTAATTTTTGACAGGAATGAAAATGAGACTGAGGGATAGAAATACAGTGTGTCCAATGGATTGTACTGTTGACTAAACATCTTTTGTTTAAATATATATACACACACACACACACACACACAGTATATACTACACAGTGGAGT